CAGAGTGCCCCCTTTCACCACAGAGTCCCCCCTTTCACATCAGAGTCCCCCCTTCACATCAGAGTCCCCCCTTCACATCAGAGTCCTCCTTTCACATCAGAGTCCTCCTTTCACATCAGAGGCCCCCTGCTTTCACATCAAGAGTTCCTCCTTCAAATCAGAGGTGCAGTGTATGTGATCTGACGCAGTGCCTGTTCAAGGCAGTACGCATCTGCTGAGACTTGCAAGATTCAGGGTCAGCACAGGCTGCAGTACAAGGAGAGGGGCAACCAAGCACGCCGTGTGGGCCAGCCACTTGCGCTCTAGCAACTGATGATTTCATTGGTTGCTAGAAAGCTGGCGGCCAGCCCGCATAGTGTGTTTGGTTATTATAGTGCACAGACCGTAACAACTTATTACGCTGTAAAAAAAAGTCACCCATGATCCTCTGACTTTTTTCTTTTTATTTGCTTGCAATTTTATATTGATTTTTGGGGTACCCCTAATAAAGCCTAGATGGCACCCTGGCTTAGAAAGGCTCAAATAAGCAACGAAGTGGTGGGAACCAATTCTAAACCTTCTGTGTTTGTGCCTATGGAAACTCAATAAAAATTGAAAGAAATCAAGAAATGTAAGATGTTAATGGCTTTGTGTATCCCGATGAAGGTCTCCTTTGTGTGGACAGTTCCTGTTTTCTTTTCAGAGTTCATCGTTCGGCTAAGGGAGGTCTGTGCTCTTGTCTTCCAGGATTTAACTGCATTTTCCTCCCAGTGAACAACAGCAGTGGAAATATACATGCTTACCCTTGTATTTGTTTAAACATGGGAAAGTCACCAACCTATTAGCTATATTGCAGTCAGCGTGTGTTGGATTCTTTCTTTGCTCTCCAGGAGATTTAGGGGGAAAAAAGACACCAATCATGTTTATTGCCCATATTTCAGATATTTCCATTCCAAACTGCGTATTGCCTTAGCAGCCCTTCATCCCTAGCTGTAGAATCTGGGAATAAAATACTTTCTTATGATCAGTGTCAGGGCTCTGCCAAGGCCAAAAACAACAGAATACAATAAAATGACTGTAGAACAGGAAGAGAATTGTTTGAAGTGGGGCTGGACAGGCTCCTGGAACCAGGTAGCTAAAGAGTCTAAGAAATTACTCTAGGCGCCTAACTTTTTGGGTATTCTTACCGATAATCTGAAACTTCAGCCAAAACGTATGGGGTCAAGAAGGGTTAGAACTACTAAGGTCTTTATTACACTATGTAGACATAGTCTCATTTTTAGTCCAGATGACTGTTAGCGGGAATCTAGAGGAAATCTCTCATTATGGATATGTTTTCCGGTGACAGCTGTCAAAGTAATTTCCAATCACTTTGGGTGCTCACTTCCCGATCCATTGAGCCGACGTGTGACAGTTTCATTGTCACACGACGGGTCGAACTATGAGGATGAGTGATTTTCACTCACCTCATAGTTCTCCTTTAAACACAAATTACACAGGCATGGTCCTCTCTCATTATCATTAGGACACCAACCATGAGAAATGCCATGTAGCCATTGTTTGATTGCGTGCATGTAGATATGAAATGACTGCAAAGAAGCTGCAGTAGATCAGTATCACCGATATGCAACATAGAATGAAACTAGGCAAAAACAATATTTTATTAAGAACAAAATAAACAAACATCAATGTTGTAAGCACACACAAAGCATGTCATTCAGTTAGAGCAGTGTAGTTCAGTTAGACTTTAAGATCTTGCTGGCTCCTGCATAGGACCGTCGGAGTGAATTTTCCCTCCCCCCTAATTTGGAAGACGGCTGGCAGTTGTCAAACTAACATCAGCAAACGCACTAGCAGAGCCCAGGCTAAATGCCAATCTCTCCACGGTGCAGAAAATGGTAAAAGGAGGAAAGAGCTAGGGGATTGTATGTTCAGGCATTAGGTTTGAAAGATGTTCAGGTAGAGTGATACTGACAGTTGAGTTTCAGTGCTGGGTGATAAAGCAAGTCCTGAAAGCAGTCCAAATGAGTTTGCTTCTTAAAGATGCCTCAGCCCTCGGTTACTGCTATAGAGGACATATAGAGCCGCTTCATGGCTGCATTTGCACATTCTAAGAAATTTACATTTCCTCAGCTCCCCCAATTCACAATGAGTAATCACTGATTTTGTAGCCCCGATAAAGGACCTACATCACATACTGGCAAATGTGAACTGGACTGGTACTGATATCTGGTGGTAACTGGGTCTTAAACTGTACAGTAATGGTAAAGCTAACACTTTCTGATGATTGCAGAGCGCTAGTTGTCACTCAGCTGGGAGAATTCCAAAAGATAACTGCTCTCATGCAGAGGGCAGCGGTCCTTCTTTGAAGCCATCAGTCTAAGGGAGGGGGGCAGTTTTGATTGGTGCTGGGGCTCTCTTATGAAGAGCACAAAAGGAAGACACTTTTAAATCATAGTTTTCTGGCATCCTCCATTGAAACAAATAGCATTTCCCAAGAATTCAATATGGCTTTAGGTATTTACACTTACATATTTTATCAAGCAGTAAATGAGTTTTAAAACAACCATCACTAATCTCTGTCGCTGCAGGCACTGTGGAGCTATTAATCCTTAAAGTTCACAGCACAAAACCTAAAATCATTATCTTGGCAGCTCAGCTCACTTTCCTTCCCCTGAGCTTTGAAGTCACTGCTGCAAAGAGGAGCTTAGATCCTAGGAGAACAACCCGAATGACCTCACCCCTTCTGCTGTCAATTTCAAGGATGATTTGCCCCACAGTACCTGCTGTGATTGAAATCAAGAGAGGAAAGGTCATTGTTAGCAGGCAGAGTATCACCTTTACTTGTAGGATTCTGTATCACAATCATTTCAAAGCTTGGCTTTGGTGTCTTACAGCTTTAGAAAGATTGGGCGCTGCTGAAATAGATCCACAGGTCTGATTTGACCATCTTTGTGGCTCTCACACCCAGAAATTGGTAAAATTTGTAAATCTTTAAAGGGTACAATCTTTATTCATACTAGAAGATTTAGAGCATTTTTATTTTTTGAAACCAGTAAGCAGCGCCTCTAAATCTCAGGATCTCTACTCCTACATACATTGGCAGCCCTGGCAACTAGTATCCAGCATCTTCTTTCTAATTGCTGGTTGTCATAGCAACAGAAACTGTCGGAAAAATTAACAAGTTAGTTTTTGCTCTTAAAGAAAAAAAGCAAAGGGATTTGCAAAGGATATCCGTGAATAAACATTTACACTAGTAAGGAAATGTATTTTTAAATAGATCTCACAGTTTGTTATCAGAGTAAGCATCCTGACACAGATAAAAGGCCGGTGAATGTTAATATTGGCATAGTTTGGGTTGGATGTACACGCCTACTTTTTTGCCGCATCTAGTCACCAGAATTCAGCTTTAGATTCCAGATCACTTCCTTAGCAACTGAATTTTCGGTGAAATCACCAACTGATACCACTGGGTTATGAAAGTGCCTTTTTTTTTTATGACTTTTTATATTTTCCTACAGTTCGTGATTTCCTTTTATTCATACATTTTGTTTAATTTGGTATGCTTTGGCTAATTATTTTTTGTTCTTATGTAAACATTTTTTTAACTTTTTGATAATGTAGTGTTGCATAAAAATACTTTAAAGTGACACTAAACTCAAGAGTTAAATCTTAAGAATACATTCAAGTACCTTAATTATTAATAAAAATGTATCTTATTTGTGTATCACTCGGCTGTAGATCCTCAAATCCTCTCTGAATTGGTGCTGACACTGTCCTTCCTTCTGGAGGGGGGCTACTTTTGTTCCCCATGGTCCCTGTGTGTGTTATAAAGTGGCCACCGCTCCAAGCTCACTCCTGTGATGGACTACAATCTCAATACAAATAAGTAAACTAAACGTGAGATTGTAGTCTATCACGGAAGCGAGCTTGGAGTGGTGACTACTTTACAACACAGGGACCATGGGGAGCAAAAATAAGCAGAAGGAAGGACAATGTCAGCATGAGTTCAGAGATGATTTGAGGATCTACAGCTGGGTCTAAATACAGTGGCGTCACAACAGAAGTGCGGGGGGTGCGGCCTACCCGGGTGACAACATTGGAGTGGTGACACCAAAATGACTGACAGTCATGGACCAAGAGCCCGACAGTTTCAGGAGAGAGGAAGGGACATGGCGGCATACCTTATCCCGCCGGGTGAACACCCCCTCCTCTCTCTGCCGCGTCCATCACCATGATGGCTGCTGGCAGGTATTAATGGTGACGTTATTAAACATATAGATCTATATAGATATATATATGTTTCAATGGTGTTGTTTATGCTGTGGGCCAGTGGAGTATTTTACCTTTCCATGCATGAAACTTAGTGCCCAGTGAATAGCCAGAACTCAGATTAGTGAATTTATTACATGTCCATTTAGATTGTGCATGTTCACTGAGAGAACAATAATGCCACCTCCTCATTACACCTTCCTCCGAATGAGAAATGG